AGAGAATTTATGAGAAAAATTTTCTACTATCAGATGGTAAGAAGAAATCTGCCAGTGATTTTCTCAAGCTCAACGTAAATAAAAAACAATGAATATTGTTAAGACAACAAATGGTCGTAGATACATCGTTTATTTTTCAATCGCTTTTAATCGCAGTATTATCTTTCATAGAATCTTCCTTCATAATTTAATTACAAGTATTTATTCATTCATTTAATTGATCTTCTCATCTAGAGTCTACGGGTTATAGGTATCTCACAGTATTGACTCTCTATGTTAATAATCTACCCCCAGATGACTAAAAGTCTGTTTATCTACAAATATATCCATCGTTTAGTTCATTTATATAGTTTTCTTCATTTACCTTTGAAACTTAACTCTAGATTTTCCCCTTAACCGTTTCTTTTTCATTTGATCTTTTCACAGATTAACAAACACCTGTACGTGAAACTCTGGAGTCTCTGGATCTGATGACTTATCATTTCATTAATTCTCTTAACTCGTGAGTTATCGTTTTTGTTATTTACGTCTTTGCGAAGAATTCTGCGAGTCGTGATTAAGGATTTATTTATTTATTCTTGGATATATAATTATTACGATAAAGGTAAAGAATTTTTCATCATTTGACACATATGATTGAGGTTTCGAGCAAGTTTATCGCTGCTTAGCTCGCATCTCACAGCCTAGAGGTGATTCTTTAAAAATTCAAATGTTATTTCGTTCGTTACGAAATTCATGTTGCGAAGTACGATACTGAGTATGATAGAGGAACGTTTAAATATTTTCGAGTGAAAAAATTTTTCATCTTTTCCATTTCTACTTTCAGTAGAAAAAAAGAAAATGGCAAAATTTTTTTCGATTATCAAACTCGCTCCATATTAAAATCTATTCACTCGAAAATTTAATAAATCTCACCATTACCTCCAATAACATAGTACACACAAAATGTCATGTCAATATTGCATGTCTCGATGCAATTGTGCATTGAAATTCAACGGAAAAAAATCCAAAAAATTTGCGCTTTGAAAAAAAAAAGCAAGCAGTACTCTTGAGTGATGGAAAAAAAAATTGTCATGTATTTTTATTCTTTTTTTTTAAACTATCTATTTAGTTTTCTTCACTGTTCGTATATACAACGTGTTAGCAACTCAGTTGAAACAACATTTCCATAATAAACATTACGTTTCTCTCACGACTGTTTTTCTTTTTCATATAATATTTTTCTTCAACATTTCACGTATAAACTATGCAGTGCCGATGCCTATTAAATAGGTAAGTACTCATAAAATATATAATCGGTAAGTAATTAATGTAGTAAAATTATAAAATATAAACCGCAACACTTTGGACGATAGAATTTAATTATTCATAATTCTATATATATATATTTTTTTTATGTATATATAGAGATTTGTTATCTATACCAGCTCTGCGTTGAATACTTTGTTGTTTATGTTTTATTTCAATCTCGGATTTTTATTCCATTTTTGTTTTGCGATGCAGCAGTGAAATTGAATACAAGTTGTTTCAATTATTGAAACAAGAATTTTATATTACTTGATTAATTCATAGCTTTATCCGTCGAATGGAGATGAATTCACTGCGAGATATATTTTACGAATCTATTGTGAATTTTTAAGTTATCGGGCTTGGATACTCATTAAAATTAAAATACACAGTAAATTATACTAATAAAAATGGCGGCAATTCAATTATTCACGATCTAATGTCTAACAGTGCCTCTTAAAAAATAATTAACAATAATTACGTATTTTAATGTGATGAGGAAAGTAATGAATCGTAGAGAGATAAGCTTTTTCATCTTTGGCTTTAGAATAGATTTGTTGCGCCACAATTAAAAACAAGATGAATCCTCAGATTTTAACTAATTAATACGCACCACATTTTGTAATCAACGCCAACCGTTTCTAATAAAACATCACTCCTTCGCTTTGTGAATAAACTCGTCAATCGATAATGATATATCATTAAAATTTCTGTTTATGATTTTTTTTTTTCATTTTTGTATCATAATAACGTACTTTCAAGTTCCTAGCTACTATTGCTGAATAGTCTGTGCACTTTACATCGATCAGGGTGAGTCCACATAGAATTTAATTAATTAATCTTCATATATTTCTTTTAGAAGTTTTTCACCTAATTCAGGTTTTAACACATCACACACGTGCTTATTCTTTCCTCAATAATTTTTCTTCAATGATTCAATTCTCTAATATTTATAGTTTAATCTTTGGATGTTGTTCAGAGTCTTAATAATCTATTGAATTACTCGTTTATTTTTAACTAATTAATTCTCTTCACAGACACCGATTAAGTAGACGGGATTACCTATAATCTTCAATGAGTCAATGAAACTTTGTTTATAGATTTTAATCTTTATTTTATCATTTCTTAGAATTGATTTTTTTTGTTTATCTCTTGTCAAAAAGACTTGTTGCTACTAGTGCCTATCTAATGATGGCATTGTCGAAGAGATTTGGGGCTATTTCCTCGATTAACCTGTTCCATGGTCAAATATTTCCCGGCACTTTGTGATTTTCTTTCAATCCGCCATTTCCAGTTTCTATTCATTGCAACCGGAACGTGATCTGAGCTATGGTACAGGTTAAACAATGTAATCACGAATTGGTAGCTCTCAATTCTGTCGCTAAATTCACCACTTATTTCATTAAAATTCGTCACTCTGGCATCTTATCAACACAAAGAGATGTATTTGTCAATCTCTTTTAAATAATCGGTATTTTATCCGTTGAAATAAAAAAATTCGATAATTAATTCTTACATTAATCTTTCATCGATCATTTAGTTATCTTTCGCGAGGATAATCCCATTTCACCACTGACGACAAATCTCCTCCTAAATCTGTTAATAATACATTCTAAATTATCACTACCTTTCGTAATATCAGTTTGAAATTCATCTTCGATACGCCCAGTAGGCCTTGGACAGTATTCATAAAACTGTGAGATCTAAGAAGTCGATAGTTTTTGTGAAAATGTTAATTACGGTAGATGTAACTAGATTGAACGCATGAAAGATTATCAATCGAAAAACCGAGCGCTTTCTGCAAGAAATTTCATTGCATTCTATACAAATTTTTTTAAGGAAGTCAAATTTTTCGCTGAACTCTTTCCACAAGTGATTATTACTTTAAACCGATAAATCGACATTTACATTTGAATTCAAGAATTACCACGAGAAAAATACAGAATCTTTTAATGAATTTCGATATAATAGATGGACATCCCAAATTTATAGCAGAAAGTCCAACGTTTTTCTCTCAATCATTCCGATACGCATTGAGAAAGTCGCCAGAGTCAGTCGTTAAAAATAATCATCATATCGGTGCGATTCCGATGGTCAAGTGTGAAAAAACAACAACGAACTATCAAAACCCAAATCCTAACCCACAAAAAAACAGAAACAATCGATTGTAACGAGCGATACAAATGATTCATGCCACTTGACCATAAAATTCATTATTCCTTTCAATACGATTTAATCCTCTAGCTCACTAACAATTTCGCTACCTAATATACGTCGCACCCTTAAAACTTTCTAATTGTCCTCTCTACCTAAAAGCAAGTGAAACAATTGTTACACACACCTATTAACTTTGTAATATTCATTAACGACAATGCATGTAGAAAAATGAGCCTCTAAGATTTGTCATTAGGTTAAACATCGAAGCAGATGGAAATTGTTCTGGCAGTGTTTTTCCACGGTGCTTCGATCCTATCCGTTGACCAAAAATTTTGATTTACGTCTCGACGGGAGTTTAATTGTTTTTATAAAGAGATGATAGGTTAACGTGGGATAACGAGGGGTCGAGTGATCGAATAAGCTTGATCGATTTCATTTTTTGGCGAGCACCACAGAATCTTGTTTCTCCCAGATCCCGTGGTACTCCTCAAAAACTTAGCCATTGTCTCACGTTTACAGGTCTAATCTATTTGACCACTCACTATTCATGTAATGCTCTTCGGACGGCGCATCGGGGGAATGCTAACGACACGTCGAAATTCGAACCTAATTAGCAAAAGTTTTAGCCTGAGAACTCGATCAATGGAGCATTTTCATGTATTATCTCGTGACGTCTTACGAAAGGTTTTGGATTAAAACTTTTCGTCCACACTTGTTACATTGTATCGAAATCCACTCGAAGGAAACTTATCCTTGGCACGTAACTTTGGCTTAATCAAGGCTCATCCAGACGTCACGAGGCCAGAAGGTAAGCAAGCTTCAATCGAATTTCTCTTTTTCATCTTTACGATTTAGATCTTTCACTCCTCTTCTGAGTCCTTTGAGTTATTAATAACGACCTCGAGGATTTTTTATTGCACAGGTTATAAACCAGAATACGAAGGCGTACTGGGTGCGTAAATTTTATAAAAATTCACGTTACTGCCCATCGATGGCACGATAGTTGCACAGCTAGATGCGAAAATTTGCATCGTAGATAGAAATAAAGTAAACTAGACATTTTATGGCGTATTTCTTCGATACGACATTTTGGGCTTGACGGCTCACTTCACGAGTACATTGTGATTACTTCGCGACCGCATCCATGCACCATGAGGACTTTTTCGAGACCCTCGGTGAGGACCTCCAGGAATTCCATATCTGAAAAGAGAAGCGCTTGTAAGCAACGGAAGAACAAACGGGAGAAGTCATTGATGCAGCATATCGACAATAAAATACTCACAACTGGATTCGCGTTCAATTTTCGTTTCCTTGGGCGGTCCAGGAAGATTGATAATGACCAGCTGAGCGTCATGGCTCTTGTTGACAATAACCTCGTTGAGTTTCACCGCAGTATGCATACGCCGTACATCGTCCTCATCCCTGAAATCCGGATTAATTTGAAAATTCAAGAAAAACATTGGAAACAGTGAAAAACAGCGAATGATTATTACGGTTTGATCGGTTGCGGTGGAGCTGAACTGCTCTCACTCTCGTTTTTGTCATTAGCACTCTCTTTCGCCTCTTTAGACTTCTCACTTGTCTCCTTATTATCCGCTTTAGGTGATCCAGACAACAAGCGCTTCTCCTCCTCTGACTTATCGTCAGAATTAGCCTTCGCTTTGTTTTCGTTATTATCACCACTTTCAGATTCTTTCCCAAGTGCCGTTTCCTGCACTAGTTTCTCTTGAGCTTCATCGATACCATTTGCCTGATAGCCTGGCTCCTGGAACCTCACTTTAGTCGCTGTCTTCACGTCCACATTGTGGTGGTGATCGACGACCGCTTGCACCTGATTGAAAACCAACTTTTGTCAATTAAACTTCAGCGATTGCCTCCATGCCTTGTTTTAGAACGATATTTCTAGACTATATTAAAGCTCTATGACGGCCCAGTACATTAATCTATTCAAGCTGGCGAAATGAACGTGCCAACTAAGCGTGGGAATATGTTTGAGAAATAAAAGAAATCCACTTGTTCAAGAGTCAATCCTAAAATTAAATCCTGAGTTTCTGTTATATATCGACACGTTCTTTTATTTGAGACCGGTCTTACCGCTGCGAATAGCGAATTAACGCCAATATAGTGTATTCATTGATTCTAATTTTTTTTCGATGAAATGCATTTACAACCCGATCGAAAGAATGTTCTTGACAGTGAGCAGTAGAATATTTTTACAGTGGATTTCTTCAAGCAGTGTCCGTGAAACCCAATCATCGATGGTTTTACGATTTTTTTTAGCATCATTCAATTAATCACGAATGTACGGCACACGATATGAAAATTGAGGATGGAATACGGATAAAATTATTTAGAATCTGTGTATATGTGGATCGAGGGAAAATGGGATTATTGGAAGGAGGTGAGCCAGACATGGAGCTATCTGCCAAACCACGGGTAAAATTTCCTCGTTGAGTACCTTGTCGAAGTCCAATGTCTGCACCTTATCCGTGACGAGCACGCAACAAAGAGACACATTTCCCATCAGTATCCATGTTGCATTATTATCTTCACGTTTATCATTATTATTTCTATTTGTGTATTCAATACCATATACTTTATTCATTTAGGAATTATCAATAGACGAGATCTCATTGAATTGCAATCATTGAATATTTATAATTCCTCCAGAACAAATGGAGAAGTCCCCATTGACAATTCCAGAATTTGTGAGACATAAAATTGAAAAGTGATTCTCACCAGTCCAAGGGATTCTTGCGGATTCAATCGCAATTCACGCAGCATCTGGTTCCTTTGCTCCATTACCAGAGTCCTTTCATAGGTGTATGCCGAAATATCAGAATTCATCTGAAATAATTCAGACCCGATAAATCCCAGAGCGATCCATCAGATTGCGTCAATCAATTACCATTTCCACGATTTCGATCTCTCCCTCAATCCTCAAATTGTAGAGCAGCTTCTTAAGATCTTTTTTCATCTGAATCGAGTTGTCCTCCATCTGCGCCACCGTGAAGATCCTCATCTTGCACTTGCTCCAGGTTCTGTGCTGTCTCAGCAAGAACGGTAACAGCATAAGGAGCCCTCCGTCATGAACAATCCACCAGACATCAATGAACCCAACGACTTTCTCAGTGGAATCCGGAAAGAAATTGATCCCCTTAGGCACCAGCACAGCCATCCTCGAAGTTGTAACATTCCTCACTGTCTGTAAGAATGTTCTCCAGTGATCGTCCTCGGACTGTCTCCAGCCATAAGGCCACCCCAGGATCACAGTATTCGGCTTCATGCCGCCCAAACCAGTGGTCTGAATGAGAGAGCTGAGTCCATCAACCACATCCCTGACAACGAGAACATCAACGAATCCCTTGACCTTCTCCTCATCCGCAATTTTCCTGAGACTCTGTTTGGCCGCAAGTGCTTCTCTGGAGTTCTTGGTGAAATCGCCCCGGATACAGCTGACGCACACCGTGAGACCTCTGCCGGCCTTCAGCTGACTGGCAAAAGCGAACATTTTCCTGTACTTCGGTACGAGTCCATCGGTCAGTTTGACGAGCATCAGAATCTGTGGTCTCCAGTTCTTCGTATGAGGTGGGCCTTCCTCAAGCTTCAGCAGTGAATACCTCGCTGCTGACAGGGCAAGACCCCTGATACCATCACCCCATTCTTTCTCAGCTCCACGATACTCGATGTATTTGTAGATGACACCAGCCATGCCCATGGCAAGAAGTGCATAGTACCAGCTGGTCATGAACATAATGGCGATACAGAGGGAGAGGCCGATGAAGGAGAGACTCCAGTGGTAGTACTTGAATCTCGGACGCCAGTTAGGTGTCTTCAGAAGGGTCTGAAGTGCACAGGCGAGATTGACGAAGCCGTAGCACATGAGGAAAAACATTGAGAGAAGAGGCGCGAGGTAGTCAACGTTACCGAGGAGGATACCACATTGACAAATGAGAATTGTGAGAATCAGAGCTCGAGTGGGCTCTCCTCGACTTGATGATTTAGCGAATGGTGAGAGGAATGGAATGATACTGTCCTTGGCAATGGCCTGGAGAAGACGAGGAGCACCTGTAAGCGACTGCAGCCCCGCCCCGAGAGTCGATAAGAACGAGCCGATGAGAATGACCCATTGATTTGGCCAAGCGATATTCGCAACCACCAGCTTGCCCCCAATGCTCTGACCAAATTTGTCGCGAAGCAGAAGATTGTCCACGGTACCAGCGAAAAGTAACACTGAGGAGAGGTAAACCGTCGAAGTTGTCAGGATCGCGCAGATCGTTCCGATGGGAATGGACTTCTGGGCATCCGCAAGATCGCCGGAACGATTCGAGCCAGCCATGATACCTGAGGACATTATCATTACCAGTTGATCAAAATCGGTAAAAGGAATTCAAATCTTTACGAGTAAAATTCTCAAAAATGCAGGCGAATTTACGAACCAGTCACGGATGGAAAGAATATTCCAATGAGAATGGTAAAGGCTGTTGTCAGATCATTGGTTATAAATGGAGCTATTGGTTTTGTTATTTTGTCTACGTCCACGGGATCCTCTCCGTAAGCAATGTATTGTCCAAGTGTTTGGAACCTTCCGGCCAGATTCTCTGAAATATTGAAACAGTTACTACCGTCGGACTTCTTCACGTTTTCTACAGACTCTCCATCAGGATATACCTAGGAAAACACCACTCGCGAGTCCTTTGATTCCCTTCACGATTTTGAAATCATGAGTTCTGTAGTAATCATCGCACGTTCCTGATGTACTGTTGCAGAATAGATCATGCGTTGTGCTGTAGTTCTTTCCGCACTCAGTAACGGAAACGTTCCTCAGGAGGCGTTTCCCCAGAACACACATTCTACCGTAACAAATACGTGATCAGAAATCGTTGAAAGATTCGATTTTCATTATAAGGATTGAAAACTGAAGGGCTCAGTGAGGATTTTCTTCAGTCTAGTCCAAATACTTCGTGGAAGATTCAATATCATTTCAAGCATTGATCGATTTTTTTTGAGCTTTAGTGTTCTTGATAGCTTTTCAACAGATTTTTTTCTCCGTACAGTATTCTCGTTATAGTCGATTGCATGGGACTGTAGGGCAAGTGAAATTCTTTCATAGCAAATTTGTGGACGGGAGAAATTTATTGTTCGTTATGTGCAAAAGGGAAGTGAGGAGAGGTGTGACTATAACGAGAGCGAGTATAACCGGATTCTAGAGCATATCAGCAAAATAACTTACTTGAGTGCATCGTTTCCATGGATATTCGTGAAAAGCCCGACGTATACGGAAATAATAGAGAATATGACGCACGCAAGGGCCACACCAGCAAACTTGTTGACAAATTTAACGCCGATGAAAACAACAGTACCCATAATCATGAGCAAACCCGTGCCATAAACTCGAAAATTATTCTCCATTACCGTAGGATCTGAGTTAGGGTCGCCGAAGATGCTCAGGTTTGGTGCCATGTATGTCTTTAAAAGTTGAAAGCATATACGAAATTATCGGGAATATCAAATCGTGTCAATGTGAGGGAGAATTGAGAAACTTACCAGAACAATTTCAACTGCACCGATGATGTACATGGCAGCTGCCAGAGTTGTGCCTGTGTAGAATAACATTCCAACTGCACCACCAAACTCAGGACCAAGACTTCTCGATATCATGAAGTAAGATCCACCCGCAGGCACTACTCCGTTCGTTGCAATTGCACTCATGCTAATTGCTGTTAGCATAGTCTGGGAAAGAAGTTGAAATGGGATTTAAGAAGTTTTGGGTACGACAATTTTGATGGAGTTGCTGCTGACTTGGAAACAATAGCAATAAAATTCGCATTGATTATTGTTTCAAGTTATTATTCAGGCGTAATCTGATTACTTGGAGTTTTCTTCTGTAATGACAGCGCAAATTGAATGACTTTTTTCATATTTTAAAATTAGATTGATAATACATTAACATCAATCTTCCAACTTTGTGGTGAGAAAAGTGGAGATTTATGGTTTTACATGAGTCTCTGCAAATTGTAGGGGAAAAACGTCTTAAACAGGGAATTTACTGGTTGAAGCGTGAATTGCAACCTTTTCATGTAAAAATGATGAGGAAAAAGTTTTAATTTTTTACGTTCAAAGTTTGTGATGAGAAAAATTGCATGGAGTTAGTGGATACCCGTGGCAGATTCTGCTCATCATAAATTTGTATAGAATTTTCCGCATGTGGAGAGACAGCGGATGGGGAAAATTGATGAGAAATTGTGCTTTCATCTTGACTCAATATCAGGTCCTGAGGGTCGAATGGAAATTAGACTCACGACACAACAGCAGCATAAGACGATGAGAAATCCTTGTATGGCGCCAGCAGTCCCTACAACCCATGTCAGACGGATGAACAGGATGACACCGAAGATGTTTTGAATGCAAGGTAAGAAGACACCGACAAGAGTTCCCATTCGAGCACCTCCTGGTGCTGGTGGTGCTGTCTTGCTGTCTGGATCGGTTGCTGGTGGAATCGTGTTGCTGTAGTCCGCCAAATTCGAAAGAATCGTCGCGACGCTCGGTCGGTCGTCTGGTTCCTCCTAAAATCAATATTTTTTAGAAAATCATTTATATCTCCAATTACTTCAACCAACACTATTTACAAAACCAAAAAAAAATCCTCCACTTGGTGTCGGTAATATATTCACGATTCACCATCAGTCAATTCCAGCCATTCCAATGCGCGTCGAGTCGCAAAAAAAATATATAGAGATAGTAAATACAATTGGAAAACAGTTTTCTTTAATTTGGCAATTAAAGATTGATAATAGGTGAATTATCAATTGTAATTCACTCTCATCAGTCTAAAAAAATGGAGTAATGAAAAAAAGTGGAATTCATTGGACGATGAAAGTTGAACAATTTCCTACGCTTTTTGCACGGCACAAGCCCCGGGTAGAATAGGTAATCCTATTAGTTTGAGATTCGAGATGCTGGGCACGTCGTACTACGAGTTCGAAGCCCCATTCCACTCCTCCATCCTCTAGAGATTTTCGACCAGAAGTTATGACCCAGGTCGAGAGAAAAAAAAAAGTCAGACGAAAAAATCCCGGGGATTCCCCCTTTTTTCCACTAACGATGAGTTATAATTGAATTTCCATTCTGTCTTATTCAATTGACGTCGATTCTGTCGTTTTATTGTGCCCCAGGTGAATTGCATTAGTTATGGAATGATTGAGAGGAATAATTAAACTTCTCTTTGACTCAATTGTTCAATTGATAATTGGTATTTCTGTGTTTTAATTATCCAATGGCAGTCAAAGGAGTTATTTTTACAGATTAATTGTTATTTGATTTGAGTCTAGAATGGAAAGATCGATCAATCGACATCTCTGGAGATTATATCGGAGCTTACGAGTCAAGGCGATCGAAGGCTTGCGATTTTCCAGGCGAATCAAGTGCCATGGAGTTTCAATCGTATCATAGGAGTGAGAGGAGATGTGCTCTGAAGAGTTGGTGATAAGAAATCTGGGTCAGTGAGTGAGGGGTTTATCATTAAAAAAATTCAATTGCTTTGTTCGTTTCCATGGATTTTCCAGAGATGAGAGTTAAAAAATTCCTCGACTTTAGACATCCACCGAAAAACTTCGATCTTCCCGGAATTAATTCGTTAAACTAACTGTGACGTCAGTATCTCAAGAAAAAAATATTTTCATCAACGATTCTGTGTGATGCACCAGAGATACCGAAGTCAGCATAAATTTAACTAGATCTCCCAGGTCAGATCGTTATTAAAGTTTGAGAAACTCTCCACTAGCCCAACCTTATCACTCCCCAAAGTTTCATTATACTGTTAGATACAGGTCATTCACCCAGCGAATCCCTGAAAGTTCTTCCACTTGAAAATTGTTCTATTTATTTCAACAAAATGCTAGAACCAGAATTAACAGAATAAATTATTCAGTTTTTTCTACAACCGATGAAAGTTGGGGAAAAAGTTCTGTGAAGTCTCGAGAGGCACAAGAGACTCTAATCGAACGAGAAATTTTTTTTTTTTTCCTTTTAACTTGGCAGAAACATTTAGCACGGAGTTTGGTCTTGGGGTAGATGTTGAAAGGGGAAGAATGAGACGTGAAGCTGCAGTTGTCTTTTATCTCTGGGGTATTACAATGCGAATGGGATGTGACTGGGTCGAATGAATGTAGAAAAGTCGGGAAAATCGGGGGAATAATACGGAAACTTGGGAATTCCCGGAGAAGGGAATTTTTCTCGGGGTGATAATTGCGGTGATGGAGACAGGGGATTCAGGTCACAAGACATCAGATCATCAGACCGTTGTACCGTGAATATTCATGAAGGCATTAGGAAAATTAGATTGTTGAATTGGAGTGGAATAGCTCTCATTTTTTTTTTCAAGGAATCAAGCGAATCCATCGAAATTCGGTGAAAAAATTATTTCAAATCTTTTCACATTTTTTCTATCGCGATTTATTACTGAGCCATCACCGATCGGACAAAGAAGATTAACAATATTCATTAATTCTTGACTTTTTATCCTCAATTCGAAATGCCGAACGAGGCGGATGGAATATCCACTGAATATGCATCACCACACCGGGGAATCTCGAGCAGAAATGAAAAAATAATGGAAGAAAAAAAAAATCGCTGATCGAACTCTCGAGTACTCACTCGACCCTGTTCTCAAATTTTTACCTCCCGAATTTGTGAAAAATGCCAAAATGGATATGAATAAAAAAAGGTAGACGAGAAATAGAGGAGGAATTATAGTACGAATTGCTCCAGGAAAAGCCACCGTTTTTATCATCCCAGAATTTATCTCTGACTCAACGTGAGAGTGGAATTCTGCCAAATGTTCACCTCCAGGCTATTCGAGAAATTGAGAGGGAAAACTTTTGAATGTTGATATCAACGCGTGTTGTGAATTAATTCGACCAATTTTACTTACACTGTACAGATAGAGATTCGTCTCATACCCCGACTTCTTCTCCGAATTGCCGTCGACGATGGGATCTCCATCTCCGCCTGCACAACGAACTCCTGAAAAAAGAAAAAAAAAAATGTCAACTTCATTAATAAACTCTCCAAATCGATTCCACAAATATTTAAAAATAATTTGGTCAATCCAAAATCACTCACCATAAATATAATAAATAATATAATAACACTTTCGACTGTAAATTAAATAGTCCATAACTTAAATCCACAATTCATGGAAAATCGAATGATATAAATAGGGAAATCGGTTGGCGAGTCGTCTGCGAGTTGTTCCTTCAGTCCTGCGATCTCTCAATGAAAATTTTCACGTTAAAATAACGCGAGAACACGTACGAGATCGAATGCATCGTCAACAAAACGTTGCGACGCGAATGGAACAAGAGCTCGGAATACGTTTCAACAAAAGCGTCATGGGAACGAGGTCAACGTGATTTCCCTTACAGCAATGAGTAGTCTGTGTGCATGTCCGTTTTTTCCTACTTTTCACCCGTTTCTGTCTCTCTCTTTTTTTTTATCACCCTTCCACTTTTATTTTGCCCGTCGCCGGCCGTTTGCCGTATTTTCTGAAAGAAAATATTCATTATCCCACTCTTTCTGCTGCCGACAATAGTGTTCTGACGGAATCGTTAACTGCATCACCTTTTAATTGTTTCATTCGGTCGAATTATTCAATTATCGAGTAATTAAATTTTCGCGGTTTTATCTCGAAAATTCAGTGAGCGAAATTCTCCTCCGGGATTAATTGACAATAAAGAATTATTCTTGGTGATAATAAATTGGTGGAATTGTTTTTTAATTTCAATTATAAGATAAATTTAGTATCCCTTTTTTTAAATCATTATTATTGTCAAAATTGGAATTGGAAATGAGAGTTTTTATAAATTTCCGGAATTCTTTTTTTTCCTTTCATTCTCTCAGATTGTGAAAAATTCCAAGTACTTGACGCTTCTGGTTGCATAGGAGATGATAAAACCGCGGTGATGACTGCATCCCCGGGGGCTGTGTTATAAAATTCGCATGAAATGATACATGAGAGACACTTTATATTCCATACACTATCCCGAAGAAAAACCGTTTAAATCAGAGCTGCTCTTTAAATATACTGTGCATTTAAGATGATACTCCGTATATATTTCACCAGGTAAATAAACCTCCATTTAATATTTCCAATCCATCAGAGAAACTAATCCCTCTCTTGAGACTCGTCGAATCCATAATTATTGTTCAGTATAATATTTTTTTTTATATATATATTATTTTTATAATATTTTTTTTACTCAAGAAAATCCATGAGTTGAAAATATTATTCTGGTGGTTTAAACAATTTTAATATATCCGCTATTTCAAAAAATAGTTGTGATTATTTTTTTTTTCGAGAGTGAGCGAAATGAGCGAATTGAGCAAAACGAGCGAAATGAGCGAAATGAGCGAAAAAAATTAAAAAAGCGCGGGAAAAATAGTTCAGTCCGTTTCTGGCTTCAAATCTCGATCAGAATAATATTTATAAAAGATATTAAAAAAAAAGAAAAATTCCTAGTTAAATATCTTATAGTATTCCGCATGTGCGACCTCTTGAAATAATTCGCACGTCAAAACATTCTCTTCCTCGCGAAAAATAAAACTCCGCAACTGTAAGAATAAAAAAAAATAATAACGCACTTATGCAATCTCCTTGTATCACTCTCCTGCACTTGATAGTCATGAAGAGCTGAATATATATTCCACAACTCTCCGGGAAATTTCAAACTACTTTTCTCCCCCACGTCTGTATACATCAGTTACGTACCTTGTGAAGTAAGTGACAAGGTTTCAATGAAGTTTCAAATTAAATTGAATGAATATATCACGATTTACATAATATTTCCATTCTACTCGATGCTTCTCTCGACGGGAATGGAATTTCAGACAGATAATAGAGAGAGGAGTGAGATAATATCGATGTGAGAATCATAAAAAAATTGTAAAATACGATGAGACGAATTTTTTTACTCTATTTTTCGATTATTTTCGTTATTTTTGTTATTTTTATTCGTTATTTGGGGTCCACATTTCGGTTATCCCTCGGATGATTCGATAGAAGATTCAACTGACAAAGGAGTCAGTGGGGAATGGGAATATGTACGTTGACAGAGTGTACAGAACAAATCTTACGGTTGTGCAGCTTTCAGAGACTGAGATATGATTTTCGGATGAGAAATATCCGACTGGAATATCCGGTTTTCCTGTGAATCATTTCTCGGAGATATTTCACGTGAAATCTACCCTGAGATTATTTTAATTTAATACCGGGGAATTATTAAATAAACAAGAGTGCGTGGAGTAATTCTGAATGACATGCGACCTTTCAATTACCCCCAGCCCTGAAATTGAAACTCTGACCCCTTTTCTCCCACCTCTCGATACATTTGAGTGGATCGATTGATTCGATCGGCTTTGGATTCTTGCAAGCTTCCTCTCCATTTTTTTTTTTTACTCTTTATACATGAACGAATTGGAGCACGAACACTCTTCCGTGGGTGACGATACAGAGGGGCTTCAAAATTGCTCGTCAGCACGTGGCAAATCCCAACCTCGAGGGAGTGTCTTATCTGCTTCGCATTATCAACGAGGGAGGAGGCATTCCGTTTTTTTGGCGATTTTTTTCGATGGGAAGAAATATTATGTCATACGGAAACATGGAAACATTATTTATTTTTTTTTTTGAAAGAGCGAAATGAGCGGATTGAGCAAAAAATTTTAATCAGTCGGGGATAATCATTTTTATCTTTGAATTTATGGAAGTAATTGATTAACGGTAACTGTAAAAATTGGTTATGATATTTATTATTATTATTATTTTAGTAATTGATTGATTATTAATTAAAGGAATGGGTGAGCAGTCATCATCGATTTTTAGAGTGAATTCTTAGAAAAAAAAAGTGTTTTAACCGCGAAAACTTTCAGGTCCACGTGATTCCGTGACTCCAAAGATTCAGTGGATCGTTATCATTATCTCGTTAAGCTCAATATTTATGGTCGAAGTAGAATTGATAGCCCACGGCTTTTCGAGCATCAATAATTCCATCAAGAGAAAGTGGATTTCAGGATTGATTTAAATTCCCGAAATCGCCGCCATTAAATTTCATTGGAGAAAGCAATCGAGACTCAGAGCAATCGATTGTTCTTCTGCAGTCAAGAAATTCGGGAAAAGGGTGAAAATAAAATAATAAAAACTATCGCGATTATTTTCGCGGCGACAATGAGTAAAAAAAAATCAAGAGTTCAGAAGTTTCTCGTGACATCTCAATCCCGGTTTGCAGTTTTCTCTAGTGTCAAACAGCGGAAACTACTTTCTTCAGTTTATATTCCAGTCAGCGAAAGGAAGCCCTGCAATGTTGTTAAGCCCCAATGAGAAATAGTACAAATAAATAGAAAATTCACGACACGATTTGGTAGATGCATCATTGCGAATTCAATTCAATTAAGATTCGTGACTTTTTTACAGGACATAATCAAGATCATAATGAATATCATAATGAATATCATAATAATTACTATCATGACTTGCCACTTACCATTCCCCAATAATTATTAAAAAAACACAATAAATTTATTAATAAAACCACTCGATAAAATAATCATGGACTAAACAGCCGCGATTTATTCATCCCCCGAATGAATAATAATTAATTCCCCGAATTATCAATCTATCAATAATTTGTTCAATCAATATTGTAATGATGTAATTAATCCGCGTAATCATAATTTTTATTGGGAATTAATTGGAGATATTTTTTGAAGGCAAGTGAGTTGGAGACTGAAATAAGTTTTTTATTTAAATACGAGATGAATTTCCACGCATCGGAATAAATTCATGGAGAGTAAATGTAATTCCTCTGTGATTGGAGACATCATCGGATTGAAACCCGTCAATGGAAGCCTTCGGAATAGAGGGCAGAACTTGATGTAGAGTCAGTTTACACATAAATAGCGCTACACCAGCTTCACACATCACAAACGTCAGGTCATACCCAACAATAGCCAGTAATTAGACGATATATCGAAGCAATTATCCATGTCTTTGAACAGCTGACTCCCCCCAATTATCGGTAGTCAACCAATCCGATTTTATCTGTCCCGATCCAGTTCTATTTTCCAAAAACAAACCATCAATTTAATTCCCAAAATTTTGTTTCATCCATTTTCATTTCTAGAAATAAATTGAAATTAAATTCGAATTTAATTAAAAATAAATTGATATTAAATTGAACTCCCACAATCAAACAGAATTAAATACAATCTTAATAATATTATGAATTATAATTAATTATTGAGTATTGTTAATTATTATTATTGCGGACAGGATGATAATTGTCGTGATGAAATAAAAATAAAAATGAAATAAAATATTCTGTAGGAAGGAGAGAATGAGTCCTCGTTTATGCGAAATAAATATCATGAGACAATCGATGGTAATTACTCTGTACACTCGAGTAATTAGAGTTGGTGTATATTAAAAGCATTTCTGTGTATCTGAGTTTGATCTAACCGAGTGTAATTGTAACTAGGTGAATGTTCACATTACAAGCAATTGCTTGCTCGGCTTTTGAGATTGTTTCAGTGTATTTAATATAAATTTGTCCTCTCGTTTATGCACTGATAAATTCAAAGTGCTCACCAGTGTTTACATTCACACTGCTGATCACCTAATTCATGGCGCAATTCTTGAATATTAAATGCGACACATGGGATTAGATACACACGAGATTGGTCTCTGCATAATGAAACAGGACGGTGAATTTATTTTTAAATCCGGGGGCTCAGGATGTGGATGGATTTTTATTAAAAATTACGTCGAGGGCGTGACTACAGTTTATTTCGGTTTTCAGATAATTCCGATCTTCCGGGTTGGGGGAATATATCGGGTGATCATTTGAAAAATCATTGGATGATCTTCAAAAAAATATGCGACTTGTGAAATTGTCATAATTTTTCGATAATTAAATCGAGTTATCGCGTTTTGAATTTTACGTTTTGTGTTTTACTTGAATTTCTACTTTCAT